AAGCGATAGAGTAATGGCGTGTGAACGCAGGATTGTGGGAATGCGATAGTACTATACAAGATGGAATAACAAATTTTTTTAACACTCATTGCCAATAACAATTAGATTTCTCACCCCTCGGCACACATTTACGTGCGTCAATGTGGATCATAGTTACAAAGAGGATAGTTGGCTTGAATGTGTCCAAAATGTCCTTTCAGGTAACAAAGTATAGGCCGTTCATTTCGATATCTAGGCGTTTTTTGAGAACAGTTAACATGGGAGGACAGGCAACTGAGTTTGGAAGTGCGTTACAGGGTTGGCAGACCCGGAGTGAGAAATAAGTTCGTCGACAATCTAGAGGACCATAGTGTTGACTCAGTTTCAGTCTATTCTCTCCGAGGTTAGTGTTCAGGCTGAGTTTCAAAAGGTGGTGACATACGTGATTGGTGTCACAGTATTTTATGAATCAAATATGAGATCTCCACGCAGTCACCGGTAGCGTCCACTGAACACTTTGAGTGTCTTCAGTCGGTGTTGGTGCGAAAGGGTTCGGAAACCCTTGCCGAATCTTGTTGCTCGACAGTTGTTCCATGTTAACACAGAGCACCTTGGGCCGATGCGTTATGCATCACAATCTATTAAAACTTACCTCCATGTGGGAACCACTAATATTGGTTTTTGTAAATCTAGCTATTTACTTGTGGAAATGGTTTCAGTTTAACGACCGATTATGCGCATCTGCTTTCGATCTTAAGCGTGATTTGCAGAAGTCGCCTAAAGAGTTGCAAATTATACATTCATTCCACTCGGTTTCCAAATAGTCGCAGATTAAAATCACTCAAGAGCGGCTTCTCCTGCGAATTCCACCATATACAAAGTTCGTAAGTTGAGTGTCGTTGCCCTTACAGTAACACCTGGTTAGCAAATGAAGTATCTGGCCCCGTTATACTCCGAAATACACTGCCATTAAACGAGGATTTTGCAATACTGCATACATTGTTAATAAGCAACTCAAATGTACGGAATAGATGGACTTATCGTTCAGCTTTTGTGTCCGTAGATTGGTTACTAGTCTGAACGTAGCTCGGTTTCGAGGAAACTCCGCAAGTCGGACTCTTTGAGTATTGAAGAAACCGTTACCAAAGCAGGACCCAAGGAAACCGAAATTACCAGTAGCCCAACAGTTTGCACGTGATAGTTAGTGGATGCTGAAAACAAGAACGATAATATATGATTTAGGTTAGTCCAAATTTCTTCGGGGGTAGTACCGCTTTGTTAATCGAACAGAAGTATGAAATTTTCTTGTGAGAGACCATTAGAACGTTCGCAAGAGCTTGTGTCTACTTGGAAGCGGCGCTTTAACATTCGTTTCACAGAAGTTTGGCTTGGTAAGTTGGTTGCTCCTCCACAAATTATCTGCAAACGTCTGCTGACATACACTTTCTCATTAACGAGAGCAAGTACCAATCTCTATAAGAATCCAAGGGCGTATGCAACATCTGTCACTTGCTACACGAGATTATAGCTTATCATATGAAGGACGCGCCCTAAGCAAACATCTAACACTTGGGATACCACTGTCTGACCATTTACTCGACCCGGATAATTCTGAACTAAGCTCTCTCCTACTATACGAATGATGGATGGAAATTTCCAGTATACTACATTTTGCCAGTTTCTGAGCTATGATCCGTAAAAGCGCACGCGAAGACTTGAAAAGCATTGCAGCCTTAGCCTGGTGATTAGTCAGAGAGTAACCATACAAGCTGAGTCTCATTCGGGCGCAACATCGGCGCAGTGAAATCGGGATCATCAGATGAGCAAAGAATACAGCCATCGCCAATGCTACCCGGATCAGAAGATACTTTACTATGCTGCCTATTTTGGTGGTTTTATTTCGGAGACAGCGCACACCTATTTCGAGAGTGTAATGTGCAGGCAAGTGCTATTTTATGGCTAAATGGACAACTGAATAGTTCTATAGCGCATTCGATCGGTCGCTATAAATTCAGGTTCGACCCACCTTGGGGAAATGCCGGGAGATATAGATTTATTATCGAGATGTACAGTCCCGCTAGCTAAAGGCACAGCAATAGGGTCCAGCCAGAGAGAGGAAGATTATTGTCACCGCAGACGTTGTGAACACACTCCGAGGCGGAAAGCCGAAAGCGCACCATGTACCATTACTTGGTTGACTCATCATCATCAGCAACAGCAGTACATTAGCCATTTGCACTGATGCTTCGCTGTCACACAACTATGATGACCCATGGAATAAGGAATTATAAGAGGGAGAGAAGGGGGCTTACTTGAAAACCTTAATGCCCTAAGCAAACATTCAGGGTCAAGGCGCCTACACCTTGTGTTAGTCACGTACCGTCACAAACAGCTGGCTATCGTGCAAAAATAAGGCGGCATCGGCGAGACAGCTTCCTTGTGGCTTTCACTGCCCCGTGTCATAATCAGCCATTACTCCGCAGATAACTCAGCAAAAAACACTTTAAACAGGCAATCCAACTAGGGGACGCAGCAGACGCGCCACTGGTGTCGGTTGCGAGCCATGTCCTGTAGAGTCTCGAGCCACGCACAAGGCAAGTCACATGGAATCCATCCCGGAAAGCGGGACGGATCAACGGCACCAAGTATGGTCGTCAGTGACTTCATTTCCGGCTGCCAAATCAACTTCTGTCTACCTCAAGCCTTGCGCCACCCTATACCTGGCAGAATAAACAAGAACCTCCTAGGTAAGCGGTGACCAGGCATACGTAGCATGTGCCAGAGCCAACATAACTTATTCAGTGCTCTCTGTTGTTCTAGGGAGCTAGCATGATTATCACCACTAGTACTCGCCTACACACATCATCGTTGCAGACACGCTGGTGCCATCAGACATCAGGAATGCTTCGCAGACAACGATGATCAAAAACGAAGCCGCCTCCGATCTTCAGACCGAAGGGGCCAAGTCTCACTCCCATGCAGCAAGACAGCCCTCACTGTGGCCTTGCATACACAACCTTACAAGCAGAGGGAAACTCCCTTCTGTCGCCAAAGATTCCGTAGGTTCAAGAAGGCAGCTCTGACCTTTACAATGCGTGAAATTTTTTTTGACTCAAACACACGTAGCCAACGTTCCAACAGGCAAGCTCTTATTTTGCCTAAGTGCAAGTTGGAACTGTATCTTTTATAATATTTTGCAAATCCTACCCAGACAAACAGGGGAATTCCCAGCTTGCTACAGTTACACTGATTTGTAATATTTCACGATCGCACTAAATACCTCACCATAGAACGATCGCTTCGAAGTTACGTTTGAAGTATTCAGGGTGAACAGATTGTATATTTAAGTTCATCTTATGCCATTCAGTTTTTGGTCGCATTAAACAAATACAAATGGTTGCATTTGTTAGCAGCCGAGTAAAAAACGCAGTTAAGATGGTTGATTCTTGTTGGGTGTTATAGTGGTTCATTTCTTAAGGGATGAGGGTTCAGAATTCTGATGACTAACTAGAGTTCTTAATGGTACACTTGTCAACAGACATTTTATTTTTGTCACTGTCTATGGAGAGTAGAGTGGATTCTTTGTCTTCAGACGAGGAATCAAAGGACGGCATGTGGAGCGCAATCGATGAAAAAGCGCTGCAAAAACAGCGCTTGCTTGTCACACAAAGAGACAACAGGCAGTAATGCGCCCGTAAGCGGTACCAACGCTTCACTGCCGCGCAACCACCACCAGTCTCACGCTGGTTAGGGCTACTCCTAAGGTCCTCCGGTCCCGTACACAAGATCGAACCCCCGACCTTGTAAGGTAAGCTTGTGATTCTTAAGGGCAAGAGCTGGTTGTCACAAACAGGTAGTCGGAGAGCTGTAGCACAGTGCGAAAAATAGCGAGAATGCACAGGTGGGGTCTGGCGGCATTTAGAGTAGTCCTATCCGCGCAGCGAACAACTGTAGGCATTGAAAGACCCGAAGATGATATGAGGTCTTTGGTTTCAAAGACGATTTTAGGTGTGCCGTTATCAAAGTCTGAAGCAGTCCTCTGTCAGTTACTCTCGGAGAAATGAATATGCACACATAAGAAAATCAATGTAGTAGGTGAGCAGACTGCTTCAGATAGGTTTAATTGAACATTCGTTGTTGAATAATTGAAATTTTGCTCGGATTGTTCCATCCCTAACCGCTGATTTATTAGTCGCCCCACAAATTAGCGGGAGATAACTCAGTCATTGCGATGGGATATTTCATTCACTGGGGTGAGCTGCATGCCATTCTATTCTCGAGCTATTGAAGGAGTATTTCAAGTCCAACGCTCTACTTTAAATGTCCAAAGCATTCCTTCGATAGTTGTCTCAAATCGACTCTGGTAACCATGTACTGCACCTATTTATCATATTTTATTCTGTAAAATAACCAGACTGCTACATAACAATTGGTATGTTGCTTGCTGACCCAAGCACTTCCTAGGATGGTTTGATACACCAGCCAATTCACTGTGGTGCGCAACGCGTTATGTCTCCTGTTCGACCGTAATTTTATAAGATGCTGACTTTAGTGGCCGCCAGTTTATTTTATTCCTTATCTGGAGCCTAATGTATCAGCCACTGAGCTACTTTGTTTTACGCATAGGGCTCATTGCATGCACTATCAGTACGACAACCTTTCATGTAATGTCTTCCATTTTTAGACCATTGCCGTGAATTTTCCACTCTTTGGATGTTGGCTGTATGCTAATTCATCTTACGGCCTACTAAACTTTGATCACTTATTTTGTGTCGTAATCACGGGCAAATATCTCCTCGTATGAATTCAAGGCCAGTTGAATCCTGGTGTTGTTGATCTTGTCCTTTTGATGCAATCCACTCGAATCATTGAGCCGATATTCTGAATTCTCCATTCGCTGAACCCATTCAGCAGACAAATGATTTCATCAAGTGTACTTTTAGTTACGCCTTTCTGTTGCATAGTGTAATAGAGCTTCACTTTTCTCTCAATATAACAACTTTTTCCCATTTTCTTTTTAGCTATGCCCTATTTGAACGGTCATGTCTTCGATCACTGATGTGGATCAGTTTGAATTGGATCTTCAGAAATTCGACGTTCGTTCATCCGGTGATGTGAATATGATTGGGCAACAATTGGGCCTAAATACTGGTGATGGCTGGTGGTTGAGCCCGCATGAAACCGCTGTTGAATTTGACTCAGACGGGCATGTCATTGAAGGTGCGATGGCAGAAATTGAGTCTCAGGTACAAACTTGGCTACGACACTCCTTCGATAACAACCCTGAATTCCGTGACAACAGCTATCATCTTTTAAGTCGTTTGAACGAACTCGCTCGCCTGCAAGGTTTAGTGGAAGAAGTCGCACTGAAATACCATCAATCTGAAAGTGATCCGAAAGGTGTTCTCCTTCCCTCCTTCCCCTCTGAACGTAAAGGATCAGGTCACGCACATCCTTTCAGTGATCCTGCTCAGCCTTGCCAAGATGTTGAACGCAACACACAGACTTCGTCGAAAGATCTCTTTAACTGTGGTACTTTTACGAAAGGTGCACTGGAAGTTTCCTCTTTTAGGAGACCGCCGCTACGGGAAGCGTACCAAGATGCTGATGACCATTTATACCCCAAGAACCCAGCTCTCAGTCGCCAGTTCGTCAAACCCTCCGGACTGCCACATTTACATAAATCGCAACAGCCTCCGTCTCCCCATCATAACCAGTTGCAACGAAGTCATCTATACAACAGACGCACCTCCGTCCGTGCTTCAAGTGCCACTCCTATACCATCTGCCTCTACTTGTGGCCACGATAGCCTAACGGTTCAACCCGATTATCGTGCTGGCTTACTTAACCGAACATATTCTAAAGAGGCTTTGGACCAACTCAAAGTAAGTGATATGCCACCAGCGCGGAGGAGCGGTGGCTCCCTACTGGATAACTTTCTCAGAAATTCAAATCACTCGAGTGTTGGTTCTGATCCAGAAGGGGCTGTTGACGTATCTAGGAGTTACGATTCAATGGGCTATGCTCCTAACATCTTATCAAAATCACTTACCGATGGAGAAATGTTCAGTCTTCAGGCATCTGGAGTGAAACCAAATGCCTCGTTTTCGAGTATGAGAGGTGCCAACGTCCTAGAAATGGCATTGTTTCAAGAATCGCAGTTACGGAAGCTTAGCGGAAGTCGTGGAAAGCTGAGTGGGTCTAATTCCTCTCTTACTGGGTCTTCTGTTGACGCTAACGGATTTCTGCATCCTACCAGCGTCGTTACGAACTCGAACGACAACTTTAAACCGTTGGATGCTGATTTCACCAGTGGTACATATAACGGTATAGCACTTCGACGTCGTAGTCCTAAACCGAACCGGACTTCTCCGCTCGATGTGAATGGGATTTCTTCCTCCTCCTCTAAGCAAGACTCAACAGGTCCGACTGATCGCCAAGACTTTCCAAAGCACGTTGGCATGCCTTCAGATACTTTGACTGGGTCCAGTTCACTGCTAGTCTCGGAGCCACCGACACCAGTTGTTAATATGGACTCGAAATTAAGCTCAACAAAAGGTGACCAAGGAAACCTCGTTGACCCAACTACAGTTGGCTACAGGTATAATCAACAAAATTCATTCTTTCCAGATGAAACGCTTACTCATGGTGCTGGTACTGCAGGACAAGCTTACGATGAATCTCAGCTCAAACGTTTGAGTTCTTTCGAGTTAATGGAAGCGCGTGTTTCGCAAGAACATTTTATGTCGGGTGATCTGACTTTTTCTCAGAATCACAACGCAGTACCCAGCGAAATTCCCTCTAGGCCAGGGTATTTGAACGTGTCTACTTCCTCAGAGTTTTCAACCGAACTTCCGGGTTGCATGAATGCCTCCAAGATAAATGCGAGTGAAACTTCGAAACGAAACGTGCCACGTACATCTGAAACGACTGAGCTTCGACCACAGTCTAAAATTCCGTTTTACTCAGCACGTGGGGCTCCACCCGTTCGCACCGTTGACATTCCGGCACCTTCGAAACAACTCCCCACTCTCAGTATGCGATCTCGAACAGGATTAGACAAACCTTCCACACATAGTTCTCTTTCAAAACCAAGTTCGAACCAGGTTGACCCCCCGTTACAACTACGAAATCATTCTTCACGTTCTACACCGAGTCTCACGCCTTTTGGTGATGTTCGCTCACTTTCTTCTAAGCCACGTGGTCCCAGCCGCCCGGTGACTAAAATCACTGACGCACCCAGTGGCACTGCCTCAAACATCAACATCCACCAACCCAAGGCGAGTCGGTCCAACGTGTCCCCCGTGCGTTCCCGGCGTTTCGCTCGTGGCGTGTCCGATGTTCGCAGGACGCACCACACCTGATGATACAATGACCTTAATTAGTCTGTCAAATATGTATTCCATTTTCGCAAGTCTTTCATCGCAGCTGCTTTACAGTTAGCGCTAAAGTTTGATAACCTTTTCATAAGCAATTTGGTTGAAAGTTTTGACCAGTATATATTTTGCACTGCAGATTGTTTAGCCGTTATTTTGCGGTCCCTGTTATTTTGAGACTTTTTTTTGCAGCCGAACGCCATGCGACCTTCCCCACTTTCGTTATTTCTGACATGTTGGAACTTCCCGTACAGCTCACAAGTTTTGTCATTGAAGTTTATAGTGAGATCTGTAATACATTTTATGTAGTATAGAATTCTTTTTTTTTAATTTTATGAGCTCGCGTTTCGGTATCCATTATCTTTATTGATCCGTTGATTTTCAGCATTCAGCAAAAGGCACGTGTCACAAGGTCGCAGCACCTACCTACTCGCCAACTATCGGTGTCGCGTTTAGCTCACCGAACTGCACGTTCTTCAGATCGTACACTCAAACGACTTATCACGATTTGTGCTCTGATTCTAGTTCTCGCACGGAAGTACCACATGTCACCTACTACATTATGTTGCGTCTGTAAACTTACGGGTTTGCAGCTGCGCCCATCTATCGTCCCGGTCATTTACTGGTTCTCCAACCGATAATTCAACGGGGTCATCCATCTTTCACACATTTGCACTAACTTCCTTGTCCAGCAGAGTTTTCACTAGTCCTAAGTACGTCCCAAGTAAACACATCTAGGGAACACATGATGTGGCAGGGCTGAAACAACACATGCTGTCTAACACGATATTGATAAGCCGGCTATCGGATTTGAAAGGGTGAAACTGATTTAATTATTTCTTTTAGTATTCTATCCAGCTATCCCATTTCACGCTCAATCGGACTATGAGCGTTGGGCTGGGATTAAATAGCCGTTGTTTGAAACTTGATAATCAGTCTAAGAAAGTTTTGAGTTATCTACGAGTGGTATACATTGTTGTGCGCATCTCAATAATGCTGTTCCCTTTGCATTTCTATGCGGTTACCTAAACCGCGGTAGGGATCTACCTGTCACGATTTTGAGTTCGCCACATCCATCTGGCTGCATTATCCACTTAATTATTTTGCAAATATTCTACGACATATGTCAGCCGATGGCCAAAAGGTCACCGGTTCGAACCTGCGTAGGCGCGGGCTACCTCGCAGTATACCAGCCCGCGCGCGACTGGTTGTGGTCACAAGACAGCGAACCGTCAGTACGGTCTGCCGGCGTGGTGTCGACACTTTCTTCTCTTCACGACGGGTGCTTTTCAGTTATGTAGAAAACCATTAAATAAGAATGCCAAATCAGTAAAAACTAGTAGATTCACATCACATGAATAGCTCCGCGTTCTATTCAGATCAGACCAAGTCAAGGTGCAAGGACGACAACAGAGCAAAACGCATGCCGACGAACTCGCACGTGTGTTCCGACAATCAGCAAGCAAAACAAAACCACACAAAGACGAGCTTCGATCAGTTGTATATATCATCAGTTACTGAAAACAGTATACATGGAGTGTAGCGAAATATGAAAGCGTTGGCGTAAAAATTAAGCAAATTGCTTACCATCGCTACAGTTACAAGCTACGGATCGTAATAAGTTTCATATCATTATCGTTACCTCTATCGCAACTTCACCTATATCTAACCCTCAGATTCTGTACCAGTCTAATTATTTATTATCGGAAACGTTTTGTCCCAAGATCGCCATTTGTCGGATACCTTTCATGCTCACTAGTCCTTTTTGTTTACACAAGCGTACCGTGACTGCCGTTAAAAATCTCATGAGACAATATACAACTGTTTTGACCCTCAGACCTACGAGTTCTTTCGCTAATCGGTCATTCATCTATTACAATGGAAAGTCTGTCCGATTTTTCGCCCTTATGTATTTACCTGCGCAATCATGAATCAAAGCTCAGTTGCGTTAGCTTACGCGTACCAGTCGAATCCGCTCAAAACGGCAGCGTGTTTGTTTCGCTTTTTAGCCACTTCATGTAGCAGGTAACATGTACTCATAGCTCGCGCAAAACTCATGCAGTCCACGCTCTCTGTACATCGCTACTGCGCGCCGTTGTTGCATCCGGTGTGTAGGATTGGTTGAATAGTGTATTATGGAAGCAAGTCTGACATGTGGCCTTAAGGATCACAAGCCTGCCTTGTAATCCTAAGGTCGCGGATTCGAGCCTACGTAGGGGACCCGGCGCCACTGCAGTATCGTTAGCCCAGCTGCGACTAGTGGTGGTTGCGCGGCAGCCAATAGTCTGTACTGCGTACCGGCGTACTGCTGATCCATAGGAGCGAGTAATGGTTTAATCTGTACAACCCCATCGAAATACGCGCAAAATGACGTTAAAAATGACCCGTGAGCTCCGTCGCATAAAATATGCATGGTGGACGGAGAAGGCGAAGCAGATGAAATGCTACGCCGAATGCCGCCAACACAAGGAATTCTTTGACTGCTTGAAGGCGGTGTATGGACCGAGATTGGAGCCGCTGAGGACGCTGATCGATGGTAGTTCAGGCGCTACATGTACACAAACTGCAGACATAATGCAGATCTGGCGGAACCACTTTGACTGTCTCTTGAACAACCGTGCAGAGATTGACTGGCGTATATTGAACGGCCTCAAGCAGCATGCTGTGAAGACGAGTCTGGCGGACACGCCGACACTGGATGAGACGCAGAGGACACTTGCTGAGCTGCGAAACGGCATGTGTGCTGGGGCCGACGGGATCCCGCCTGAAGTACCGAAACACGGCGGACCCGCGTTGTTGACTGCGCTGCACCACTTGGTGCAACGCATATGGATTGAGGAGGAGGTGTCTGCTGAGCTGAAGGATGCCCTTGTGCTACCACTGTACAAGGGCAAAGGTAGCAAGCAATGTTGCACGAATTATCGTAGCATCAAATTGCTGAGTTGTGTGGGCAAGGTGATTGCCCGAATCCTGCTCAATCGCCTCGTGAGTCAGGTTGTGGAACCGAACCTGGCGGAAGAGCAGTGTGGATTCCGCTGGGGTCGCAGCACTATAGATATGGTGTTTGCGGCTCGTCAGTTGCAGGAGAAGTGCAGAGAACGACACCAGCCGTTGTACTCGCTTTCTGTTGATTTCACCAAGGCATTCGATACGCTGAACCGCTAGACGTTGTGGCTGGCGTTGGGTAAGTTTGGTTGCCCGCGTAAGTTTGTAAGTTTAGTTGAGTGTCTGTACAGTGGTATGCGAGCGAGGGTGCAGCTGAGTGGAGAGACCTCGAATGACTTTGCAGTTGTCTCTGGTGTGAAGCAAGGGTGTGTCTTAGCTCCTGCCCTGTTTAATATCTATCTTCATGCCATGATGTCTAGTGCTTTTGATGCCGCTTGTGCTTACGGTGTTCGTGTGGAGCATCGTATTGATGGTGGTTTGTTGAACATCCGTCGTTTCGGTGCGAGAACCCTAGTGCTTGATACAACTATCCGTATGTTGCTGTTTGCTGACGACTGTGCGTTGTTTGCACACAGCGTGGATGAGTTGCAGCACATGACTAGTGCTCTGGCTTCGACAGCGGCCAAATTCGGGCTCACCATCAACACAAGCAAAACTGTCTGCCTCTTTCAGCCTTCACCGGAGATGCAATCTTCAACATTACCGCGAATCAGCATTGGTGTTGAAGTATTGGAAACCACTTCCCGCTTCTGCTACCTTAGAAGTGTGATGTCGACTGATCAGCAGATGCACAGTGAGCTGCGTATCCGCTTGTCGATGGTAGCGGCGGCTTTCGGGAAGATAGAGTACCGAGTGTGGAACAACCATCAGCTTACCATTGGCACGAAGCTGATGGTGTACAAATCCATGGTGCTGTCCGTTCTTCTATAGGGCAGTGAAACGTGGGCGATGTACCGGCGGTATGTGCGATATCTCGAGCAGTTCCATCAGCAGTGTTTGTGTCGTAAGGTGAGGATTGGCTTGGTGGCCACATATGGTGCCCGCTCAATCCTTTGCACATTGCTCCGTGTGACAGGACAGGATGCGAGTGAGCTGCATTAGTCCTATGATTGAAACGAAGGGGCGAATGACTTTCTTCGAACCAGTTGCGGAAGTTGCGCTTGAGCTCCCAAAGCATACGAAGTCCGTTTCGGAAAAGCCTATTCCTCTTGTCCACGGACTTTAGGCTGAAGCGTGAAAGTACACCGAGGTCTTACACCAAAGGCGTGGGATGTAACGATTAACTGACCACAGTGTAGGTTCGACCTTGTCCATCCTTGCTTAGACTCATGAATAGGGAGTGGGCCGGGCTTATCCAAGGGTTGGCCACTGCAACAATGGTAAAAAGCTAATGATTAGCAGATTCCGTGGGATGGTTATGGTGAAACTTCATAACAAAAAATTGTTGGCAAAATTATATTTACACCGGTGACCTCACTGAAGTATACGTAGTATAGACTGTAAGAAATGACGGCAAGTGGGATGTTCATAAAAATTTTGTCTCTTGATGTACGCATATAGGAGATGAAAACGTGGAACGAAATCTGGGATTTGGCCGCCAGTGAAATCCCTTACAGACACTTGTGTTTATCCATGGGTAATATGTCAGGTAAGATGGTGCAGCGCAGTAACTGCACGGTCGACTCAGGTTTTGAACTCTGCCAGCGTTGGAGCACAGATGACAGATTCCGGTACGGCATTCCGCGTTTGGCAAACGCGTACGGAAAAGAAATTCCGACGGCGTTCCAAACGGTTGTGCTGCTCTGCCAGCTTGAGATGGTGGCCTCAATTGCTGTTGTGACTAAGCTCTAGCAAGTAGCGGCACGTATGGTTGGGACCTCTCAAACTCTGGTAAGCCAAAATGAGGTTCCCGCGCAATCGCCGATACCGTCCGCTGAAGACCCCGAGCACTCGTAGTCTTCGTTCATATGGTAAATTATACAGACCATTGACATTTTGGTTTCCCGGCGTTCGGGTATCTCCAAGACGGTGAGATCTCTCCTCAGCCATGGCTGCCGGACTTGTTATCCGTATTCCACATGCGGCCTTATGTATGAACCGATAAGTTATGGAAAAATCGAAGGGTCGGTTCGTCCGAAAGCACGCTTCAGAAGACCTACTTGAAGTCGTTTCAGCCTGATTCGAACACCCAAGGTCGACTTGGACAAAACTCCCAGATCCTTCTCACCAGAAGACGTTTGAAGCTCCTGGTTGCCGACTTTGTAGAAGTGCACCAACTTGTGCCGTAGCTGCAGCACTCTACATTTGTCCACAACGAGTCAAAGTAGATTCTCTATTGGCCACGCGTATACCATATCCAGATCAGCTTGAAGTCCTGTGATATCATCT